GACATTTTTCCCCAATATCCAATCTGAACCTCCCCTGGTGCAACTTGAGGCCATTTCCTCCTCATCCTATCACTTGTTACTTGCGAGAAGAATCGATTTCTGCTATTCAGAGAACGTCATAGCAGTGTTAAATATTCCAGCTTCAAGTACAAGAGGAAACTTGACAATATGACAATTACATCACTTTTTACATCACTGATCTCTTTTTGCAATTTCTGAACTTCTACAATGCTTGGTTTGTTTCTTTATCTAGGAAAAGAAAAACCCAGTACCTGAAATATCTTAGGATTCGTAAATAATCTTCTTGTATTCTCTCAGTTGCCTTTCCTACAAATCTAATTTTCTTGTTTTTCAAGTCTTCATATCCATTAAAAAAGTCATACAGCATTCCATCCAAACCTACAGAAAAGGAGAAAAAAAATGCAAGAATACTAGTTTACAAACATGGTTGGCACAACTGAACACTCCCATCTGCAAATACAGAAGCTGTGTGATTTGACTTGGTTTGTCAGATCACCTCACATATTTGTACAGGCCTTCCAGCTGAGAGCAATAAACAAAACTAAAACAGACCAAGAGAATTTACTGGCTTAATCTAAAAGGCGGTGTTTCATCTAACTTACTTCCTTTTGAAAGGACTTACCTAAAAACATGGAATTGATAGTCAGATCCCTCCTTTCAGCATCCTTTTCCCAGTCAGTGGTGAATTCCACCTCTGCATGTCGTCCATCAGTGATGACATCTATTCTAAGAGTAGTAATTTCAAAGTTCTGTTCATGGAGCTGAAAATCCCACAGACATTGTTACTTCAACATGACCATGAATACACACCAAGATCTGTATATCTTTTCAGCCTCGTGTTTGTAGACAGTCAGTGCTCAACCTGGATACATGCAAACCAACAGGTACCATATTTTCATACAGAGCAGACAACCAAGAAATACAAACATCCAAAACTAATCCCTGCATTACTGATTTTCTAGGTAGCCTGCAGAAACCTCCTTGCAGAAGATGGAATAAGAAGCAGAGAAATGAGCACGGTTGAGAAAGTGCCACATGAGAAATCAGGAGGAGGAAACACTGAGATCTTCCTCACATGATCTGAGCATGTGTGTGGGGGTCTATATTATCTTTTCTAGTGATAGCACAACAGCATGAATGGCTTATGCAGAGGTAACATGCATTAAAATATGGTAATAAATTGAATTTTGCAAAGAGTAATAAAAAAAGAATTCACTCCATACTTTAAAGCAGGCTCTTATTTAAACTCTTACTGTGATACTTTAACAAAGGAGCATGCCACAAGTTCTCTATTGGATATGCTGCACAAATACAGTTAGAAAAGATTCAAATCAAAACACAAACCAACCCTGGCAGTAATGGTTCCATGTTTTTCTCCTTTGTTATTGATGAGACGAACACCAGCAGATGTGAACATGTCCTTCATCTCTGCGGGCGTAGCTGTAGTGGCAAAATCTACATCTTGTGGTGTCATTCCACTCAGTAAATCCCTCACAGCACCTCCTGCTATCCTCAGCTCATAGTTCTTCTTCTCAAACATTTCTGGGAAGAAAAAGAAAATTAGGAAGCACTCTCCTAAACACACACCATAGCACGCTGCCAGCCATACCCTTACTTTTTCACACATTAAGGTGACAGACGTGGGAATACACACTCAATACGCAGTAAGCATGCATGTACCTCACAGCTTCTTGCAAAATGCACAAATTAGATACTCAGCTGAGCAACCACAGGCATTGTCCCAGTCATTTCATTTCCTATGTATTTTTCTGGGGCACTTCTGATAATTTAAGTATTGACAGCTATATAACTGATACTAGGGCGCTCCGGGCTGCAGAACAGTTTGAGCAGCCAGTAGCCAACAAGACAAAAGTGCTCAGTTTACTTATGGCAGAGCACAGTGGATGGTGAATCCAAACTTCTCCAGTAAACACACACCCCACAACTGTCAGCTCCACCACGTCCTCCGAGGTGCCCGGAAGTTGCAGTGGCCGAATCCAAAGAGCAGCAGACACCTCCCAAGGCACCGCAGGCACCCAGGCTGCCCCCCAGCACCGTGACCGAGCCACAGAAGCCGCAGTCCATTTCCCTCGTAAGCGGATGAGGTGCTGCGCCTCATCAGGGACAGGACGCAAACTGCAACGCTTGCGTTCATCGCCACGGCTCTCCAGGCCGCACTTCGTTCTCCGCACGCCACCACAAGAGGAGACGCTCCAGAGGCCCAGGCCCAGGCTCCCCGCGCTGTGCTCACCTGCCACGCTGCGGAGCCCCGGCGTGAAGAGGGCCTGGAACTGTGGGGACTGCAGCCTCATGATGCCCGCCGCTCGGTGCCGCGGCCGGAGCGGCGGGAGCAGCCGCAGCCGGGCCCTGCAGGGCAGAAGCAACACCTCAGCCCGCATCTGCGGAGAGACGGCCACACGACACGTCAGCCGCCCCGCGCCGAGCGGGCCCGGCCTCCCCCCGCACGGAGAGACCCCCTTCCCCCGCAGGCACCGAGCTCCCCGCCCGGCCCCGCCGCACTCACCCACCCGCGGGGCGCCGGCGGCGCTAGGCCCCAAGAACTTCCTCTGCCGCCCGGCTCCTCCCGGCGTCCTGAGATGACGTGTCGGCGTCTCGCGATAACGTTGGCGCCGCTACGTGACGCAGCTGGGCCCCTCCTCCACGGGGAGGCGGGGTCTGGGCGGTGCTAGGGGCGGAGCAGGGGCCCCGTGTGTGGTGTGTGTGTGGGGTGTGTGGGTGGGTGTGTGTGTGTGTGTGTGTGTGTGTGGGGGTGTGTGTGTGTGTGTGTGTGTGTGTGTGTGTGGTGTGTGTGTGTGTGTGTGTGTGTGTGTGTGTGTGTGTGTGTGTGTGTGTGTGTGTGTGGTGTGTGTGTGTGTGTGTGTGTGTGTGTGTGTGTGTGTGTGTGTGTGTGTGTGTGTGTGTGTGTGTGTGTGTGTGTGTGTGTGTGTGTGTGTGTGTGTGTGTGTGTGTGTGTGTGTGTGTGTGTGTGTGTGTGTGTGTGTGTGTGTGTGTGTGTGTGTGTGTGTGTGGTGTGTGTGTGTGTGTGTGTGTGTGTGTGTGTGTGTGTGTGTGTGTGTGTGTGTGTGTGTGTGTGTGTGTGTGTGTGTGTGTGTGTGTGTGTGTGTGTGTGTGTGTGTGTGTGTGTGTGTGTGTGTGTGTGTGTGTGTGTGTGTGTGTGTGTGTGTGTGTGTGTGTGTGTGTGTGTGTGTGTGTGTGTGTGTGTGTGTGTGTGTGTGTGTGTGTGTGTGTGTGTGTGTGTGTGTGTGTGTGTGTGTGTGTGTGTGTGTGTGTGTGTGTGTGTGTGTGTGTGTGTGTGTGTGTGTGTGTGTGTGTGTGTGTGTGTGTGTGTGTGTGTGTGTGTGTGTGTGTGTGTGTGTGTGTGTGTGTGTGTGGTGGTGTGTGTGTGTGTGTGTGTGTGGTGTGTGTGTGTGTGTGTGTGTGTGTGTGTGTGTGTGTGTGTGTGTGTGTGTGTGTGTGTGTGTGTGTGTGTGTGTGTGTGTGTGTGTGTGTGTGTGTGTGTGTGTGTGTGTGTGTGTGGGTGTGTGTGTGTGTGTGTGTGTGTGTGTGGTGTGTGTGGTGTGTGTGTGTGTGTGTGTGGTGTGTGTGGTGTGTGTGTGGTGTGTGTGGTGTGTGTGGTGGTGTGTGTGGTGTGTGTCCCATGTGTCCCATGTCCCAGGGCAGCAGGGGCTTTGCCCGGTTGAGGAGCCACGGCTTTATCGGCTGTGGTGGGGAAGCAGGTGGACGGGTGTCATGCTGAGGCATAAAGCATGAATTAAGTGGTGTACGAAAGAAAGAGTGCGAAAGATCTGCCGTGGCTTGATTTCAGGTTAGAGAAAAAGGATTGCAAAGGGGAGAAAAATGCATTCTGATAATGACACAGCCGTGACAAAAGAAATGGACTAATTACCCCAGCACACCACTTGAGAGATGGGTTCAGTAGCCACTGGAACAGCGCAGTGCTGGTATTGAGCTCGGCAGCTGCTGATCATAGAATCAGACTGGTTTGGGTTGGAAGGGACCTTAAAGCTCATCCAGTTCCAACCCCCTTCCACTAGAGCAGGTTGCTCCAAGCCCTGTCCAACCTGGCCTGGAGCACTGCCAGGGATGGGGCAGCCACAGCTTCTCTGGGCACCCTGTGCCAGCGCCTCAGCACCCTCACAGTAGAGAACTTCCCAAGGTCTCATCTAAATTTATGCTCTTTCAGTAGAGCCATTCAGTGCTCCAGGTAGGGTCACACAAAAGGAGAGTAAAAGGGAATCCCCTCCCTCCATCTGCTGGTCATGCATCCCAAGGACACGGTTGGCTTTCTGGGCTATGAGTGTAGCCCATTTGCTGAACTATGTATGTGAAGCAACGTGGTGTAGCTTAAACATTAGGTTTATGTTTGTCAGCCTAGATTGATATGTTTGTCAGCCTAGATTGATATGTTTCCTTTATTGTGAGAAGATGTATGGACAAGACAGGATAATATGGGAGGCTGGGGGATGTGGTACAGTCTGAATGTCAGTCCTTCCCTCCTCACAAGTGTAATTTCACTGGAATGACTGTGGAATGACTGTGTTTGGCCAACTGCATTTCCCAGAGGAGGGCCATGGCTCTCGTTGCTCCTCCCTGTACTGCTCCTGCATGAAAGCATCTCAGAAGGATTGGAAGGAATGAAGCCAGAGAAGGAACTCACCCAAATGCGAGTTAATTGGGAGTGTGGTACCCTTTGAAGCCTGAATAAATCTTTGTCTCAGCATAAAGGGTTTTACAGGTTTCTTGGTAACTGGGAAGAAATGTGTCACAGACCTACCTAGCCTTTTAAGCACCTGCCAAATCAGCATCTAGCTGCAGCCAGGAGTGTGCTTAGGAGCACAAATGGGCTTTTTTTTTTTTTTATTGGAATGACCTATTAAAATGAATCTCAGACTACAACAATCAAGTCAGGCCTGTATAAGAACATAACCTTTTTTTATCCTTTTTTTTGGTGACTTTCTTATTAAACTCATACTTCACCTTTAGAAATGATCTCTTTTCTACAGAAATTTTCTGATGTAGGTATCAGAATATTGCCCAGTAATTTCCTGTTTATTCAGAGACATAGGGACTGGCCAGACCTTAAGAGCTCACCTAACTTACCTCTGTGCCTCATGGCAGGATTTGATTACCACTGTCATTCCTGGTTGATGTTTGTATACAGATGATCCATCACAGAGTTTCTTTCAGTCCTTAGGTGCTCCACTGCCTGAAACTGAAAACTCTGAAACTCTGTCCAACTCTGAATGCTTTCCCTGATACCTAACCTGAATTTCACTTGTTGTCATCTTCTAGTCACAGGCTGATGGGCTTGGAGAACATGTGAAAGCTTAAGGTGTTACATTTCTGCTCAAGTCTTCCCTTAGCTTGTTTCCTCTCTGATACTCTTTAGGCTCTCATATCGTTTGCTGTGTACTGGCTTCTCTTTATCTGCTGCATGGCCTGCTTAAGTGCAGTATCTGAGCTGGGCACAGCGTGTGTGAGTGGAGGCTTTATCAGCACTGTGCAGAGTGGAAGGATTACATCATGTGTCTGTAGAGGACACCGGTGTTTTGCTGGCATCATTTCACAAGTGCATGGCATTGTTTATGTCTCTTCAGTTTATGGCCCTCCAAACCCCCACATCCTTTTCTGCAGAACAGATACCTAATCAGTTGATTATTTAGAGCTAGTCATTCACAGTTGGCAATGCCTAATTGCAGTTGAGAACTTGCCCATATTGAACTGCACCCAATCTCCACCAATTTGTCAAGAACTTTCTTAATTCTAGTCTTACCTTCAAAGCACACGCCTTTCCCAGCTTGTGTCATCTGCACATTTAATAGGGTAGTTGCAATCAAGGTTGCTAAAGAATGTAAGTCATTAGCCTTGTTCTTCTCCTTCCTGTAACTCCATTACATGCAGCCCCACTTTCTGCAGAGTCTTCTCTAGCCCTTGGGTCATTTTCTGCTGCTTGTCCTGCTTGTGAGCCTGTGTTCCCCAGCCCTATGGATCACAACCCAAAGCTCTCAGCATGAGGTTAGGAAGCTCACCTTGCTCTGGTCCAGGTAACTTCCCAAAATGCCACTGATGTTCACATGGCTGTATAGCAAGAGCATTGAACAGGATGGTATAAAACCATTGCAGGAAGCCTGCACAGTTTCCCAGCAACATTTGGATTTGATTTTCTAGGGGAAGAACAAATTGGGATGTCAGCAGTGGTCCGTAGGTAGCTGGCTATAGGTTATTTCTTTGCAGTCGGTCATTAAACATTCCTGCTCTTCCAAAATTATTAGAGAATTGTCAGACTATGCTATCTAATTAACCCTCAATAAAGCAAACCCATTTCTGAGCTAAACTGTGTGCTTGTATGGAGCCTTCCATCCTGTGGTTAAATCTGTAGTTCCCTTTTTCAATGCGTGCTTGTCTAACTTATCATCTGCCATCATTTCTGAAGTACCTATCACATTTGTACTTGAAAGACAGCAGTTATAAAAGAAACCCACAGGAAGATGACCCAGAGGACGTTTGAACAAATGGAGCTGACTCTTCACAGAACCTTCGAGCCTCGCAGGTAACCTCCTGGGATGTTTGTTGTGGTTTGGTTTTGCCTTGCTGTGCTTTGTTTGAAGACTGCGAAAATCCTGCTTTTCAAAGTCAGCTTTGCCTGGCACTGGGAAATGCATCTGGAATCTGCTTCTGACCCTTGCTTGTGAGATTGTGGGACATGTCAGCTGTAAGTAAGAAAATCATTACCTTTTTGAGGCTGTTTTCTGTGGTTTGGATTTCTACTGTCCTTTCAGGAGTATACTCGTTACAAAAGGAATAATATCATTTACCTTCTGTTTATACTTTTTAACATATGTAACAAAGCATAATTTATCAAGGCTTTATTTGTCCTGAGAACTTACTATATCCATATGTATGGGTATAGGAACATGATTCTCTTGTAGATTTCTAATTAACATCTTTATTTGAATACACTTGTTTTGATCCTTTTTTTAGTAATTCCTCACACAAAACACAGACTGCAAGGTATTCTTGTATATTATCGTCTTGCACATCTATGGAAAGACCTCTTTAAAAAGCTGTATTTTCAATCTTAGTCTGATAGCAAGAGAAGGAAAAATAGCATTTTTGTAAACAAGGCAGGAAGAGATAAACTGAAAAGAAGAATAGAGATAATAATTGAAAGCTAATCTGCATTACAGTAACATTTTATATCCAGTTTCAGATCAGTAAATCGCTGCTTAGAAAATGTTAGATCTGTGTCAAGTAAGTAAGTGCATGATTTAGACAGCTAAAGTACTTTTGAAATGAGGTTTTTTTTTTAAAGTACACAGAAGAGGGTGTGCCCAGGAAGAATCAGAATTCTTGCTTTTTGAGGACAAATTAAGAAAGTCTATACGTAGCCAAAACCACTTTAAGTAAACCCAGCAGAGAGCCAGCTTTTTCAGTTGCGCTAGATGTCAGAGCAGTCTGAAAACCAATGTACAGGCATTACTTGTGTTAGTAGACATGAATCTTAAGCAGTTGTAAAACATGAGGCTTTTTAAAGACTTTTAAAGAAAATAACGTGATCTTGTGAAGCAGAGGACTGCGTGGTATCCAAGTGAGAGAACCCAAAGAACGGACTTTTCGTGAATGGTAATGCAATAGGAAATCATCTTGGAGGCACTGTCTAAGCATAAATGTACAAGGTGAATAGTAATTACCTGATTGTGATTCACATACATTGTGTTAGAACCAAAGTGTCTGGCCAAAATGTCTTTCAGTAACCCAACATACATAAAAGCAAACCCTGAGTCCCCAGGAATAATCTGTTAGCAAACTCCAGAGGTTGAGTTAGCCTTTGCACATTTGGGCTAGCAGAATAGCAGATACATACAAAATATGAATACAGGTAATGAGTGGACCTGGACATTAGGAAACACACTGTATTGTCAATTATGTGTTATTTTAATGAGCTCAGCATTCATACATCATATTGAAAGATAGTTATGGTGTAGCAGAAGTACTCCAACTGTGATCAATTGGAGTGCTTCCAGTCCCTGGGTTATTTATTGCAGGTTCAGGGAGAACTGATGGGTTAAAGATGCTTTCTCTGCTCATTACCATCTGAAAATATTATGTTCTCCATACAAGCAATTGCTGTAGTGCCCCAGGGGAGTGTGCGATTGGGCTGGGAGGGCCTATTTCTCTTTGGTAAGAACACTTTGGAAAGCTGCTGTTCTGTATGTCCATGTTGTTTATATTAGGTTATAGATGAATGATTACACATCGATTTTTTTTTTATTCCAGTGCTTCATGAAACAATCTAGGAAGCATAAAAACATGCTGGTTTTTTAGCATTAAAAATAATTGTTCATTTCATTTAGAAACAAACAAAATAGTTTCTCTTACACCCAATAATTAACACTGCAGAATTAGCCTTGAGGTGAGTACTGAGACTGCTTCTTTAGCAAGCTTTATTGAAACAGAAACTGGAAAGTAAATTCTAGTAAGTACCTATTTTATATATAGTGGCAGCTAAAAATACGGTTATTTCTGTTCTTTGAGTAAATGGGACTCCACTGAAAGTCAATATACCTGAACCTGACTCACTCCTCTCCATGGAGAGATGCTCTAATTCAGCAGCAGTGACTGCTGCTCTGAACATCCACATGTGACTCTTTTGAAACTAGTAGCTTTCTCAAGGTGTGCTGGCAAAAGCAAAGGGAACAAAATGAAATGTGGTTGCTGGTACTTAAATTAAATTAAATTTAACAATGACAAGATGCATTTTCCTGCAAGGAAAGGAGAAGTGTCTGTCCCTTGCAATGTAGCAGTTTAATTCCTTTGATCATGTGGATATACCGTGTGCCATGGTTTGTGTGCTTGACTATTGGGATTGTGTTCTTTTTTAGGTATCAGCCTCTTTAAGATGGTGACAGATCCACGTACTGGTACATGGCTGTTCTCATATACCATTTGAAGATCATAGCCAGCACGATGAAAGTTTTTCTGATCCTCCTTTGGACAGCAAACTTCATTCAGCCAAACATACCTCAGGCTGCAGGAGGTAAGGCATTTTCCTTCTACCAGTGTGTAGCTTTAGCACCGGTTGGCCCCTCTACCTGTTGATCAGATGCACTGTTCTACACAAGAATAAAACAGTCCATGGCATGCCATGTGAGTACAGGGCCACAGATGAGTGTGCTGTGTTAACGTGCTTCCTGGGACAGTTTACTCTGTGTGTTAGATGGCTCCCAGATAGTGCCTGAGTACTGTTTTACTTTGAGAGGAAAGAACCATAAGGCACGTAGATAAAACTTGTGCCATGCCACTTGATCTCTAGGCTAGACAGTAGTTCCTGGCCTGGTTTATTCAACAATTTAATCCAGCCAGAGCAAAGGCATTACTCCAGATAGCAATTTTACCTCCAGGAACAAAACTGCAGTTTGTTGCAGAAACTTGGTGACACAAAGAATTTCTGGCATAATCGTGGTGTATCAACAGCCTTAGTGGGGAATTTTTTTGTGGGCATCTCAAAAAAGGAACATTTTAAGGGAAGCAGTTCAGTGTGGTTTGTGTTGGGGTTTTCTGATCCTTTATGAGGCAGTTTTCCTAGTGCAAGGTGCATGCTTGAAAATGGAACTAGTGGGCATCAAAGGTTGAAACCATGGGAGAAATGGGGATTGATGTCCTTTAGCTGCATTGGAGATGGCAATTAAGAGAGTGCAGGCTCTGAAGAAGTCTAGAAATGGAGGGGAGGAGATTGCTTTTTTCATTGCCTTGCTATTTATATGCTAACATTTTCCCCCAGCATGAGATCTCCATTTCCATATGCGCTCCAGGAATCCCTCTTGCCCTGTCATTTTGAATTATCATTCCCATCCTTCTATGTTTTCTTCCATTTATGCTTAATTCCTCTGTTTATAATTTTGTTTCTTATCTCACATATAATTTCTTGCGGCCATCAGCCTTCTCTTAGAAAGCCCCCCATGTTATGCTCTTCTGCAAGCTTATATGGGGAGAATTGTTCTTACAATTGATCCCTCCATGAGCCCCGTTTCAGTACAGATGCCTCTTGTCTATGTGGATATGAGGATCAAGTTGAAAAACCTATACCTAATTTACAAACCAGTTGTGTGTTTCAAGTTGAAACTGTTGTAAAAAATCATTTTTAAGCTAAATTTTAAGTAAACTCCTATTTGATGAAGTTTTGGTTGTTATTTAAAGGTATTTTTCAAATATTAGAAACATTTTATAAGAAGGTGTTGAGAAAATATAATATTGAAATGAAATTATTAGCTTGTATTATAAGCTTGTATTGCTTACTGCTTGTAAAGCTCTTGTTCTAAACAATTCACTGGATTGCTATGTTATGAATACTTTTCTCCTTTACAGTTCAGGTTTTCCCACCTGTTAACTTCACCCTTACAGTCTCTGCATTAGCACAAGTGCTTTTACAGTGGAAACCAAACCCTAATCAGGAACAAAAAAACTACACTATTAGATATGATGTGAAAATCCTAAGCCCAGTGCCTGAAGAGGTAAGATGAAAAATATCCTAGGAAGGTAAAATTCATGTGGAGTTAAATGTATTGCACCAAACCTGGATGCAGTACACGTGATATGTCTCTTGAATAATTAGCATATCAAATCACTTATTCTCTTATATCATAAATATATAGTTTGAGCATTGGAGAGATTCCCTTTCAGCTCTGCTTACAGTATAGCTCTGTTGGGACAAGGCTTAGCTTGGGTATTGGCAGTCCCAGTCTGCAGCTTTTATCTTGGGGGAAATATGGATACTAGTTTTAAGTGATAGTGCTCCCTGTTCAAGTCAGCTCACTTAATTCACATTAATGCCAGGGTATCATTAAAATGTCAGATCATGTTTCATCACAGCTGTATGCCATAAACAAGTTTTTGGTAAGATAAGGTTCCTGCTGTCTTAAATGAGAAACCTTAGACGCTTCTTGTGTGGATTATTTGTACTCTCTAGCTGTATACACTTAACATAACCAGCCAAGGTAGCTGGCTGGTTTGCCTCTTTGCAAACAGGTCCCTTAATTTGGCTTCCATCACATGTCATGCTTATTTGATGTTTCAAGTATGATACAAAGAAGACTCACACTATCCAAACAGCTCCACTTCACAATGGTTTCTCGGCACACGTTCGAACGTTACTTCTCCATAATGACCTTCAGATGAGGAGTGACTGGGTGAAGGAAAATCTCCTGCCTGCACCAGGTAGGGGGGGGTCTGAATTTTGTCTTCTGTCCCGCTCTGTGGATTAGACATCAAAAATGACAGGTTTAATACTTGAAAAATGCAGCATTTCCTCTTCTGCCTGCCACGCTGATCTTGCAAAATGATTTAGGCTAGGCCTTTATCTACTGCTATGGAGCCTGGAGTACAATCTGGAGGTGCAGAACATGGATAACCCATATAAAATTTTATATGATTTCCTTGCTAAGGCTAAGATAACTACTTTCATACACTCTAGGATTTTAAAAGACCATATTGCCTTGATGTACATGAAATATGTAATGGTGCTGTGTGGTATAGCTTTACTTACACTGTTTGGGAATCTTCATCCATCCATAACTGACAGACCTGTGTGATAAGGAAGAGAATTGGATACAATAGACATAGAAATAATGGACCAAAGGCTGTAGTCAAAGTGTTTTAGCAAGATGAATTTCTTACGACTTTTGTAGTAAGATTTTTCTTACTGCTTTATAATTCCTTGATTCTCTAGGTGCTCCAGAGACATCTGTCACCAATTTGTCCTGTGTTACTCGCATTAGTGTTTCTAATACTGTTTCTCTCCATTGCACCTGGCTTCCTGGCCAAGAAGCACCAGAAGATACCAAATACTTCCTATTTTACAGGTTGGTGTTTTCTCCTATTTAAGTCAGTAATCAATTTCCTTAAAATCATCATGACTGACAAGTATTTTAATTTAGGTATGAGATGTACACTGAAGAGTGTGAAGATTATATAAAAGACAAGTGGAACAGGAATACTGAGTGCAGATTTTCAGTGACTCATATTGATCCTGAAGAGGTTGATAATCTCATTGTAATACACATTAACGGTTCTAGCAAGTATGCTGCAATCAAGCCTTTTCAGCAGCTATTTAACCAAAATGCCATTGGTGAGTAAATATACATTTAAAAAAATACTTACAGATGTCTAGCAGGATTCTGAAAAGATATTTGAAATAATATTTCTGGATTGGATGATTCTTGATACAGGGGAGAATATGTGCTGGCGTTGCATAGACAGCTTCATGAAATTCTAAGAGATTATAGGACAGAAATGGATGGTTATAACTGAGTTTGATTTTACCTTCAAGTACAGTTTTTACTACCTTTTGGTTTAGAGTCATTCTTTAAAAGGAAAAAGACACATGGTGTTGAAGATAACCATGTCCTTTTAAAAAAGGCAATAATGTTGAATAAAAGGTAGTGTCAGCCGTGACTTTCCACCATCTTTCATCTACCCAAATAATTTCTTTTCCTTCATTTGTTCCATGCCTTTCACTTTTTTGTTATCAGATATGATTTACCCTTTTCATGGCTTCATTAAGATAAAACAATTGACATACTTTCTTCTTAGAAATCATCCCCCTAATAGCTGCTGATGCATTGCTTTGAATTTGTTTCAGTTTTCAATAACTTTCCTAGTTACATCTTTTGTTTGTTTAAGTTTTTCTAACTGTTCTATCATTAATTTAATGCTTTTGTGAAAAGTAATTTAATAAATTCTCTCCCCCACCAGTAATCTAGTTTCCCAAAACTTCTACATGGATTTTTAAAACTGTTTTCTCTTAACTATTTTCTGCAATGTAGTTATTCCTCCTAAATCCTTATCTTCTGTGTCCAAAAGGTAAAATAAATTTGAGGATTATAGATCCTACTTGGAAACACTTATCAGGTTATAAAATGCTCCAGTTGTTAGTATTTAAACTTGGCTCTAAATAAATAACTTACCAGTACAGTTTTCTTTTTATAGAGAAAGTGAATGTTCCCAGAAATGTCACTGTATTCTTAGAGCAAAATGATCTCCTGGCCACATGGGAGAAGCCAATTTCTCCTTTCCCTAAAGAATGCTTTGAATATGAATTTTACCTCTTCAACTTGAAGTCAGGTAACAAGCAGGTAATTGCTTCTCTGATGCCCAAGTGTTACGTTGCATTCCCTCTCTGAGCTGACTGTCTTATATAGCTAGAATTTGCCTTTACACAACCTGGTCAAAAAGTCTTCGTATTTGTGGTTATGTTACAAGTTTTAAAGCATTTAAAACGAAGCCTGCTATTAGAACATTTCTGAAACTATGGACTTCTGCTGAAACTTGTGTCCCATTTGTGACTAGGGTTCAGCAAACCCAAAGTCTCATGAATTTTCATGTTTTCCTTCTTCTTTTCCCACAAACTATCCCCCAAGAGACTTAGGAAAGCAGGACAAAATTTGGAGTTACTCAGTTTTATGCATCTGGGTTCAGAACAATAAGAGAATGGACAATGCTGAAAATTCAGCATGAAGTGTCTTAAGGAAGAATGCAAAATGAGGTATCTCTCAAGAATTTACCCTGAAATATTGGTGTATTATGAGAGAAATTACACCTTCTTATTTCAAAAGCAAGGCCAGATGCTCAGTTAATCTAGTAAAAGAATTTAAGCAAAATAGAAAGATAAACATGATGAAAGTTTGTTTTCTGATTTGCTTAGTCTTAAGTAATCTGAAACAGTATGATACTGTTTTCCTAACAGATACTGAAAATACCTGTAAATGCCTTCAGATTACGGATTGATGTTACCAGCAGGTATTCCATACAAGTAAGAGCTAATCATCACATGTGTTGTACAAGAGGTTTTTGGAGTGATTGGAGTGAAATTATTTATGTTGGTAAGAATGATATGTTTCTGTCTTTAGTGAATATTATTACATTGCTGGAAAGCAAATGCTGCCTAATCATGAGTATGCATACCGCCAACTAAATTTAATAGAAGCCAGGAAAAGAAGTATTTGAAGAACCTGACTTGTGAAAGTGAAGGGGAGTTAAATCTGTGTTTCATTAAAGAAAAAAACCACCACTTTTGGATATATGGAGGATTTTTTAGACTGTTTCGGTTTTACATGCTTATGTTTTCAGAGACTGCTTTAAACTAGCTTAAGTAAGTCCTAAATTCTAGGTAAGGCCTTTTAGTTGCATTACTTCTTTAGTTTTTACATGTATTTCCCTGGCATGCATCGTGATGTTCATGCTGTGAGTGATCATGTCAACATCTACTGTACTGGAGCTATCTGAATTCTTAGATGTTGGGGGGAAAAAAAGAGCATGGTTTTAGCATCTTAGGAATGTGATCATTTGCTCCACTCTGTTCTGTATTTCCTGCTTGCTGAACATGTTTTTCTGGAAATAACAGTTTCCTTATCAAGACACACTATCAACTGTTTTTTCTTAGACATCCTCCTTTGCTCTTATCTTTTGAGTTTCTTAATTTCCTGGTTTTCACTTTATGCTCTCCTGTTTACTGAGCTTTTCCCTCATATCTATTTGCTAGTGAGTGCAAAGCTGCTGGTGTTTTGCCTCCTTACTCTAACAAATCCCCTTGACCTTCCCACCTGGCTCCATGGCAGGGACAAGCCCTTGGGAAGAGAGGCTTAGCAACCCAACCACTGACCCAGGGCAGGGGTGGGAGGCTGACCAAACATCTCATTAATTAAGAAAACTGGGCCTGTTTATTAGCCTCATGCATCTATCCGGGAAGTATTTTGATGAGACTAACTTGAAGACCAGCAGACTCTCTTCTAAGTCCATATCCTGAGAAGAACACTGGACTAGATTCTGCATCCTGTAGCTTTGCTAAAAGCTGAAGCACAATTCTGAATCCTTCTCTCAGGCATTGGTAATCATGCCCTGGGAAATGCAGACATATGCTCCCAAAGTGGGTGTTGTAGAATTGCACCTTGATACCAGCTGTCTCTAAAAGAACCACTGCAGTCAAACAAAGCTAGATAAGAAAAAATCAGTGCGGATGAGTGAGTGGGACAGTTTTCTCTTATAGAAAAGGTTTTTTAGAGGCTTGTTGTGAGTACGTCTCTGAGAGAAGTCCGAGGAGAAGCATGCTGGGCAGGTCCCCAGAGCCACAGTGCAATGTCTGTAATTCTTCCAAACTCTGAGTTGCAGTGAGCGTTAACTGACCATACCTTTCTGAGGCCATTGCCAATTGATGATATAAGATGGAAAAGACTTAAGACCCTTCTATTTTTGGTTTGGAAAATTGATACTATTCCCACCTGTCATGCTGGATAGCTTAAAATCGGTTTATGGGACTTAACCACTTTGCACAGTTTGCTGCCCCAGTCATCCTCAAGCCTTACACAAAGCACAACTCATTGACAATTACATCCTAAATCTCATTTTCTAGAAACAAAAGTGGTAACCCTGAAGACAAAATAAACCATCCTAACCCGGTTTTAATTACAAGGTTGAAGGTTGACTCTGTGCCCCATCAGGGTACTGTGGAAGTGCAGGATGGATCACACAGGCCTGCTCGTAGTGTCATCCATGTGCTGCTCTCTGGACTGCTGTGCAACCACAGCCATCAGCAGAGACAGCAGGCTCAGCTGCTCATTTCTTAGAGACAGATCTGTCCACAGTTGAATATTGTTTTGTCTACAGCAGCAATAAACCCAACACTCCTGCTGCTGGCTGATTTATGTCCTTTCAATTACCCAGTAATGGCAGTGCTGACACCTTGATGCATAGAACAGGTAGTTATCATAACTCTGCAGCCTTTTGAAAATGCACTTCAATGTAAATGTTTTGGTTATATTGCATAATGTGGCACCAAATAATGGCCCTGGCCACTGAGCAATGCCTTTTTAAAACAGAAACACTGACCTTGATAGAAATATCTGTGTCTGCTCACACGCAGACACAGTAGAGAAATTCTTCCTGAGAAAATGTATCAGCAACCAGCTCTCAAGAAGAATGGGGTGTTCATTGTCTTCTTTACAGGCAAGTTTAAGAAGCTAGAGAAATACAGTTCCTGGCTAGAAAGGATTAACAGAAACTGAATAATAGTTTAATGGGAAACAAATAGTTTGTGCCTGAGATTATTAACAAACAGTGTCTTTGCTGAGTACCAGTTGTGCCTTCACTGCATGGCATTGTGTGTCTTGGGACGGCAGCTAACGGACAATATCGACCTTCTGGTGGGCCTCACTCCTCATGCGTCTTGTCTCTTTTTTCCTTCATGTGAAGATGAAATAAAAGTATTGTTGAAACTAGAAAGTCAGTTTAATGGAAATTGTTCGTGAAGCTCTGCCTTTCATTTCTAATTCCAGATAGTAGGTCTTCACTGTTTGCATGTTAATTTGTGATCTGGATATAATGACATAAAACAGCTGATGAAATATTTTGTAAGAGTGTGCTTAAAATAATCTGCACTAAAATAATATCTTTTTTTTTCTTTGAAATTCAGGGCAAAACAAACTGGAGAATTCCACAGTCTGGATTCTCGCTGTGCTTTGTGGGTCCACATGCTTCACATTCCTACTTGTTGCTATAATATGCAAAACGTAAGTATCATCGTCTTCTGTTTAATTAGTGACTAAGGACTAGGTGCTTTACAAGTGTGTGGGGATGTTACCACCTTTGCTTAATTTTAAGAAAGGGCACTTCTGTACTGAAGCATAATTACACACTGCAAAAGTACAGAATAAGTAGTAGTCAGCCTCATTAATTATCAGTAATAATATTCAACATTGGTGGAGTATCAGAGTTATTCAATTTAATCTTCAACAACAAACCCATATACTGATTGAGGTGAATTTGTTAAAAATCTATTTGTCCTGATCTCATTTATTCACTTAAATGGATCTGGTTGGGTGAATGGTTTCCCCAGGAGGATTCTGTCTTTAACCATAGTGAAAGCTGCTGAGAGCATCTTTCATGGTTAAAATGCACAGAGCAGTGTTTTCTTAGTCTTGTCTAGCTCAGTTCACAGACATGCTCTACTCTGGGCTCAGGGCATGGGGTCTGAATTTCAGCTGACATCAAGGAGTAGATGCTCTGCAGAGGTAAAAATTAAGTGCTTTTGTGCTTGCAGCTCCTCCTGACCTTTAACAGGAGCAAGTGCATTAAAATATTGGTTGCTTTGTGGTTTTGAGCTATTTGTTTATTTTTAATTACTACAGAGTCTATGGGTGCCATGCAGTAAAAGCAGATGTCATTTAGCCAAACTCCTCAAAATGTGCTGTGAAGAAACCAGATATACTTTGGATTTCTGTAGCTGTGACTAGTCAAATCATAAGCAATGAATTAAAGAATCAATCTCACTGGAAGCTTCTCCCCTGAAACATGCAAGAAGCAGCAATTATCAGTCCACAGTAAATACAGTTCCCAGTAATGAAAGTGCTGTCCTTGACTCTGCTAATTTCTTCTTCATTTCTTTTAACACCTTTTAACTTATTGGTCATCTTGATGTGCTCTTGGCTATTTCCCTTTCCATACCACATTTCCTTTATCACGTAAAGGTCTTGTCTACAGGAATGTTACATTAGAATAGCTGTTATTAACCCTTCCTAAAATGTCTGTTGTCTATGATAACCTGTTCTTAAATCAATTTAATTAGCATAGCAAGTCTCAAGAAGCAGTCCTTTTTGGAACAAGACAGATTAACTCACCAGTTTATTCATGTTGTGAGTCATGCACACTTACTCCCAGCTATGCAGTCCTGATGTATTGATGGAAATCCCCAAACCACTCTCACTCACATCACTGATACTTTCACAGATTGACCTGTCCATATAGCTGTAGGTCCTCCACTGCTCCAGCATCATCTTCGTCAGCTCTCTCAGCTCTCTTTGGGACAGCAAAACACCAATACCAGTTAGTTCCAACACCAGTTAGTAGCAGTCATACTACTCCCTGTTTTCCTGTGGAGTTCTGCAAGTATTTGGATGTTACGCAGTTTTCCCCTGCAGAAATCCTGAAGCAGAAATAGGGAGAGAAATAGGTATTGGGGAAGACTTCTGCTCAAGGACCAGCTTGAAGATGGTGTACTAACTCATTTCATGAACTTTAATACATTAGGCAAATTTAAGATGGCTTTTCAAGGTCCAGCTGCTTGATTGGTTGCTTCCAAGAGTTTCTCTCTGCCTGGCTAGTATATAATTCCTTAGCACCCAAAGGCTTACAACATTTCATCTTTGCCCAATGTGATTAACATTTTATCTGCCCTGCTGCACTAAATTTCATGAAGTTGCTAGCTTTACTCCACTGCAAGATGCTTCTTGCTCAGAGTCCTTGCCACTTCTCTAATACCCCAGCCTGCCCTGGAAGAAGATGGGAAATGTAAGATGAAACACAGTGCTTAGCCTGCTCATTTATTGTATCTGCAGATATTTATAAAAGAAAAACAGAACAGGTTCCCTAGATCACAATTTCATTGGTACTCTCAGTTTTTACTGCTTTGAAAATTCATAAAGTGCAGCATGCAGTTCAAGCACAGAATAATTTCAAATTTTATACAATTTAAAGCCATTATAAGTAATTCCATTATAGCAAAGAGTTCTATAAATTTCTCTTTCTACTTCCTGGTAATTGCAGGCATCAGACATACAAAACACCATTTGGAAGAAATGCTACAAGGCAAGGTAGCCATTTAGGAGTGTTTGGATAGTCTTTTCCATTCACTTCCTTGCAGTAGCTGATGGGGTTACTGTCTTGATAAAAAACAGTATTGAATGTTTTCCTGGTTTGACCTCTGTCTTTATGAATGAGCATAATCTGTACTTCCTTAGGCTGTGCCTTGGAATACCATTTTCTCCTGGAGGTGAACCTACAGGAGGATGTAGATAATAACTTGCTCCCAGCTGCTCTCCACTTAATTGACGTGAGGACAGTCAGTAGCTCTCCATAACCTGAAATCAATGTGGTCATCCTGACCTCCATCAGGTCTCCTCCCTCTTCTGCAGCCCGCAGCCAGCAGCCAGCAGCTACCTGCTATGGGAAGTCATGCGTAAAATGTCTTGGGAATCTCAGAGGAGGCAAGACACTAGAAAAGGCACTCTAATGTCCTGTGGAAACAAATATTTTATCAATCTTATTGTAGTGGTTAGAAAAGGAAAAAGAGGAACCTGTTCTCCTACGTGCTTCTCTTTGGCCTTTTCACATCACAGCCTGTGGGAAAGGTGGAAAATTTCAGAGATACAGCACAGTAACTGGAGGCTTGAAACACTCAGTTGAGGCATAAGGGTCCTGTGGGGTGTTTTCCAAATCCTGAAGGTCCAAACAGTGCTAATGCAAAGGGCCGTGCTCTAACCTGTGAAGAGACAAGCAGAGTTATCTGGAATACATTTTGAGACAAGATATTTAATCACATAATTCCAACTTTTTAGTGTCCTACAAAAAAGAACAGGACCTTTCTAAGGCCACCACTGTCACCATCCCACCAACACCTCACTGCAAAGACTCTTGCACTGGAGGGGCAAGCAGCCCCCACAAACACGAGTGTCCTGCCTCATTTCTGTTGGGCATTTGTGCACCCTTCCTTAAGTGTTTCTATTCCAGAAGCAAAGTATAACTTATGTATTTTGCTGACTCAATAAATTATTTTGATATGGCCCCATCAAAATCTTCTATTGACAAACAGCACAACTAGAAACATGACAATTCCAAAACCTCCAAATCTTCTTGGTTACACTACACAACAAAAGCAAAATTTGACAAGTCCTCACATCAAAATCACACTCAGAGCTGAAATAAGGTGAAATCATGTGGCCTCCATGGCCTTCCCTCTGAGAGGTTTTGGAGGCCCAATCTTGGGCAGGAGCTGTGAAGACAACAGTGCTTGCACAGCTACGATCAGAAAGACCAACCCTTAGCAGGAAAACAGTGAAGAGTAGATATGATGCCAGGTGCTGGTCGCACTCCTGAGTTATACCAGCGGCCACCTTACTGTCCCAATCTGCTGCCAGTGACTGCACTGCCTGACTTGTCTTCTGCAGCCAGCGATGGTTGGACCGCGTTCAGCATTTCAACAAAGGGGATGCAAATTTCTCCTAGAAACAACTCACACCTGCTTTTCCTCCACATATTCCCATTTCTGGCTGCACACCTGAGTTACAAACTCATGTGCAGAAATGGGGACACATCCTGTAGTGTGCTTGGTCAGGTCTATTGTGTGAGCAGTGGTGTGGCCCTTCCTTCACCTAAAAATTAGTTAAGCTTTAATGTCTCATTCCGGGCAGCAGCATCTCAGACAGAAAGGTTTAGCTCCAAACTGATAGTAAGAAAATATTATTTCTCCTCATTTCCCTGGTGAGGAGGAATAATAGGATAAAAAAAGCTTGACAGAATTCAGCTTTTGGAAGAATAGTTGTAAGACCATAAGCATTGAACTAACCAGACATCAGTCAGGAGAACTGTTACTAAATAAACCAGGTATATGGGGCTTTGAACAGCCTGGTCTCGTGAAGAGTGTCCTTGCCCATGGCAGCGGGTTTGAACTGGGTGATCTTTAAGGTCCCTTCCAACCCAAATCATTCTGTGATTCTGTGGTCTGTCTTTGGTCCCAATAGGTAGAGCTCCACACCTTGGCCACATCTCTGCTTCATGGATCAAGTATAATCTCCACTCACTACAAGTTCCCATTAAAATCTGGCCCTATTTAGACATCGTGCTATCCAGAAGTAGAGATAGTGAATGTTTTTTGGCAACTGAAATGTAAAATCTGTACTCTGGAATATATCAAGGACAAGAAAAGTTCATTCTGCAGTACACTATCATAAAAATACATATGCCTGAATGCTTGAGCCAGACTAAAGCATGTCAGGCAGGGAAGGAGTATCTCAAAGGGTGTTAGCAAGATGAGTTATTACACCATTAGGCAGAACCGTTTATTGTCAGTCATCTCTGATCCCATTCCTTGCCTCCTCCTTGTTCCCTTGGCACACCATTATTTGCAGTTACTCTCCTACCACCAGACACAGGTAGATTATGTCCAGAAACCAAAGGCTGAGCAAGAGGCAGCCTGTTTTGACTGTCCAAACAAGATACATGACGACGCAGCCCTTGGGAAGAGCATGAGCATGAACAGACAGATCAGAGTAATTAATTTCTCTCCAAGACAGACCTGTTGCTGGCCAGTAAAAGACCTGGCAGTGCCCTGTGGATCAGACATCCTGGCTTTTGGCTGCAGCTGTGATGGGAGAGGCTGATGCGGGGAGAGAGTCATCCTGCCTCATCTTTGTCATCTGCACATCCCCAGGATCCAGAAGTGTCCTGTGAGGAATAGCACACCTACTCAGTCCTCAGGGTTTCTGCTGGCTGATCATTATCCATTACTTTGACCACTTTTGAACCTGCTGCTGCCATCAGATGCTGATGACTGAGTGTGAGGCAGGCAGGAGGGCTGGTGGTGAGAGGGAACAAGCCTTCTCATGGGGCTAAACATGCGCATGCTTGCGTCATGCATCAGGAAAAGCAATTCTTTCACATCACTACTGTTTTTTGCAGAAACCGTGTATGGAGTAAACTCTTTCCACCAATTCCAACACCCAGCAACAAATTCAGAGACCCCTTCCCAAATAACTATCAGGTAAAACAACATTTTAGTCACTTGTTTCTTTTTTTTTTACTACAAGGGATGCTGTGTTTGTGTGCTGCTCTTTCTCTGGAAGGATGGGACCATGTAGACCATTACTGCTCAGTTAAAGCCTTTGACCTCTTAGAATCTCTAATGTCCATACTAGATGTGGACTACGCTGTCAAATGTGTTGTGCAAAACATGCCAAGTGGGAAATGCAGTTAATGTGATGATATGCACAGCCTGACTATAACACAGAGTTAGCCATTGAATTTAGCAATCTGTGAGGCTGTTCTTGCAATCATTAACTACTGTGGTCAGTTCTCACGTAGCTGTGTGGCCACCTGGGCTGCAGAGGGCAGATCCCCATCTGCAGTAGCTCTGCACCTGGCTTTGTTTGTAGATGAAATGTTTTGGGGAGGGTTAACAGTGAACAAAAGGGTTAAGTGCTTTTCTAATATGCAACAAATTTCAGGTGCATGGTGTGGTATGGCTTTGCCTTTTGTATGGAAATGCAGTTGCTCCTTCCACTGAGCACAGCCAGGCAGATAGCTCTGCCTTGGACTGGAGGTTGACACCTGGAGAGCTGATTTATTTTGTGAAACCTAACAATGGGCAATGTTGTGGTCCTACTGTTAAGCTGATCTCAAGCCTTATTTTGTTCGCTGTTACTTCCTGATAAATACATTTGCCTTACAGATAAGATAAAACTCCTCATTGTCTGCTCAAGGGAAGTGCTGCTCAGTAGCTTGATTTTAATTTGTCCCCTTAGAATAGGGGTTTGATTTTTTGTGTATTGTTCTTATTCCATGGTCTGGTCAGGGAAACAGGCTTAAAAGATTATCATATAATATTTGTTTTTAATTAAAACCACTGGTGTAAAGTAACATGACTTAGGGTATCACAAATAAGAATACGAGAAATAGCAAATAGTAACATTGCAGCTAGAATACGTGAGCATGCAAAGGCTGTTTCTCATTATCAAAAACAGTTTTGCCTTGTTTTTAACTGTCTCTTTACTCAGAGCTAGCTCAGCACAGGTAGGCGATACTGGCTTGAGGCTTTCTACTGGCACCATGGCTGCATGGGCAGTGACACTGGCAAGGAGAGGTGAGGACGTGGCTCTGCTGAGATCACCAGGAAAGTGAACCTTCAGCAGCTGTTTGCTGTGGGCATTCAGTTCCTCAATTTGCAGTGTAAACAGCTGGACAATGTGACGAAAGCCCTGCGCAGTGATGGCAGTGTGGCCCTTGAAACTGCGCTTAGCCCTGAGGAGCAGCTCTGCCTCCCACTGGGCTACTGTTTTCTGCTTCCTTCTGCGAGTCACCCCATCTCTGCACACTTGTTTGTGCACCCCACGCAGAAATCACTGAAACATCCCTGTATTATCAGCACTGTTTCCATCACAGATCCAAAACACAACCCATACTAGCTACTACAAAGAGCATTAACTCTATCCCAGCCAAAACCAGCGCAACCTCCCTGTTCACCAGCTAACAGCAGTGTTTGCTTTCCAGAGAGCACATACCTGCACCAGTGAGACAGAGACCGAATTCAGTAGCTTTGCTGAAGATCTCTACTGCAATGCCCTTGATGACCCTGTCTTCTGACAGTCTGCAGGGCTGGTGAGGCTGGTGGCCCTGGCACGTCGCTGGAGTGGGCTTCATGTCACCTTTGCTGCAGCGATGTTTCCTGCAGGACAGGAGGACTTGCTTCCACAAGGTGCCTTGCGTCATGATAAGCTACTCAACAAAATGTCCCAGTTTGTACAGTCTGCACAACAAAGTAGGCATTTGTAATATCTTGGTTTCCCTGGGGCTTAAGCATCCCCAGCTTTTGGCTGTGTGAAGCTGGTGGGTGCTGCGAGACCCCGACCAGTATGAAATGAGAGCTTCACTTGTGTTCCTCACACTCCTTTCTGAATGAGGGAATGTCTCTGGAGTGGTGGGCTCTGCAAGAGCGGCTGTCTGCCTCCCTGGCTTCTCACTCATCTTCAGTCCAAGGCTCCTTTGCAGGCTCTTGCCTTTGACATGAGCTGGCAGCATCTACAAAAGGACAAGAAGAGATCGTTTGTTCTTCCTGGCACAAGAGGTTAAAGCTTAAGGGGAGAAAAAAAAAAGAAACAGAAAACAAAAAAGGCACCGACTGCAAAACTTCCTGAATTGCACCTACAAAACAATACACAGCCTGAGAGTGCAGAGTTTTCAACTGTACAGCAATAAGGAAATGTGCCAAGGACTTCTCGGTGCTCTTAAAGAGGCTGAGCTGCAAGGAGCTGGGCTTCTCCTTCATGCACAGCTTCAGCTGCTTTCAGGTGATTTTGAAAATCTAAACCCAGTATTGGAACTGGTTTTCTTCACTGCTTTTCCGTCTTCAGTGAACAGGGTTTGGACAGTGTCAGTTTCTGTTGGTGGTTTGTTTACTTACCTTGTGTCCTCCACTGAGTGAGTTACCAAATAAACCTTCTGCCTCAAACCTCTGGAACAGCTCAGGCTTCAACCTTTTTGGCTGTGGACCACAAAGCTCTCTTCTTCTTGAGAAGTCCCTGCTACTTTCAAGCAACCTCCTGCCTCTTGAGCTGGGGCAGTGGTGAGGTTTAACACATTAACAAATTAAAAAGAGAAAGATTTGACCCAGCAAGTAAATTGTTTGGGAAAGTGCCTAAGGTAATGGAGTTCCTAGGTACTACAGACTAGAAATAATGAATGAGCCAGCTCTCATCTGGGTGAAATAGCATGGCTCCATCAAAATTAATGTAGCTCATTAATAGAACAATGTTTGTGCCTCAGACGTCTCTCCTGTATTATGATTTTAATGGATTTGGGGAGCCCAGCTTTAACAATCTAAAATCAGAATTTCATTAGTAAAATCCTAAAAAATGAGACTAAAGAGAATTCATTTACTGTGATGTATTTTATGTCATGCCTTCAAGTGGCCTAATAAATAAGATTTCTAAATATAATTTCAGTCACATTAATGGCAAGATATTGTAGAGATTAAAGCAATATATTTAAGCATATTTTGCATTTGAGCTGTACCTCTGGCCATGTGAACACTAGTGAAGGCAGCAGCGGCCTCAGGAGCCAAGGCGTTCCTGGTAGCTGTCAGGGAAAAACATGCTTTTGGTTTTTGGTGTCATCTGTGGTAAGGACTTGCATCACCGCAAAGCAATGCAAATAACTGCAACAAGCTGATTATGGTGAGAAAACCTGTGCAGATGTTCATCCAGTCAACAATGGCACATCAGGTCCTTGGGATGAGTACCCCTGGGGACAGGCAGGGCTTGAAGACTGGCAGGTATGCGTTATACTTGCACTGATAAATAAAACTGAGCTGTTGGAAAGCAGCAGGAGTATCTCCATTCTCCCTGCCAGGCCACTGGTCCAGCCTGCTCATCCTAACTGGCAGCCCAGCACTGCCCCTTTCAGGGGTGTAATGGGGGAACCTCTCACGTTTGGTAAACAGCTACCATGCAGGACCAGAAAAGCAGTTCCTGGCAGAGCTGCCTCCTCACAGCCATCATACCCGGAGCAGACTGCTGTCCTTCCAGGCGGTGGGAGAGGAAAGGGAGCATGTTCAGTACATCCAGAGAATCTGCTATCACTGCCAAATGCAGGTCTGCAGTGGGGATCGTGAAGAGGAGAGGCCCCGCTCAGGGCCGCGTGCCACATTCTGCCACTCTTGCCCAGCCCACCCTGCCGATGAAGGTTACTGCGCTGACTCCGGGACAGTTATGAGTTCTGTGTCCAGAGCATAAAGAAATATTCATTCTGAGTGTCTTTTCTTTAAATCCAGTTATAAACCTCATGTATTCCTCCCAGTGCAGCTTTTCCCCACTGCCTCCACAACAGCGGCTGCAGGAGTGAGTCCCTCACCCACCTCTACCCATGGCAATGTTAAATTTGCCTTTTAAAAACTGAACTACGTCTTGTGGCTATTTAATTTTTTGGCATCATTGATTGCAAAGCACAACATTGCTCCTTTGCAATGCAGAACATGATCCTGTAACTCCTGCGCTGTCAACCCTAAAATCCAGAACTAGGAATGCAGATTTGGTGGCTTTAGCAATTTCAATCAATGCTCCTCCAACTCCTCAGAAGTCTGCGGTGGGGTGAGGTTTCTCTGGGTCCAGGTCAGCTCCTGAACGAAGCTGCTGTCTCCCACCCTGCTCCCAGCTGGCTGCAGCCAGACCCATGATCAGCAGGAGGGTAATGCCAGTTTTGCCTTTTTGTTCCCAAACTGCAGAAGGCCCCACTCTGACAGTACCAACCCACACAAGTTTGGAGAGGTTGTGACACTACTTCAATAGACATTATCACCCCAAATTCACTCATGAATATTTTTTTCTTGTCAGTTTGGAAGTAGAATTAGACCAAAGATTGATAAATAGATTTTTTTCTTCCTGCCTCCACAAAGTTTTGACTTAATCCAACAATTCTTTGGTATCTTCATGTCAGTGACCATCTCAGCAGGCACTAGCTACTGCAGTAATGAAGTTTGTTACTGGGCAGAATGAAACACGGAGGAAAAATGCTCCTGGAAGACAGGTATCTTTACAAATGACAGAATATTTATTACCAATACCTTTAAAAAAAGATTACATCTGCTAGATCACTGATAAATATCATTTACACTGGGGAGAAAACTACAGCAGCTTTTTTTTTGTTCCATTTTTCTTGGTTTTGTAGTTTTTTTCTGTTTTTTTCTTATTTTTACTTTTTACATAGAAGTAACCATATCAAACTAAGAAAGGAACACAGCTTGAAATACTGACAATATTTCTCTGGTCAACACCCCTGACTTTTACACAAGTGGAATCCTGATTATGAGTTACTGAATAAATATATTTAGAAGGTCTAAAAGTTAACTGTATTATTTTGTAAGCAAAAAAGACAAGTTACAGGCAAATTCAAGCTATCAGGAAAAAAAAAAGTAATAATATACCACTGCAGCGCATTTAAACTTGAAAATTTTATAGAAAATTCCATTTCCTTTGACTAGCATTATCCCATCTGAGTGAACTTACAAAATTACCCCATAGTAACAAATGGTCCTTCTCTTAAGAAGAATTATTTTGCTGTGGATATTGTCGTTTTCCGGCGTGACTCTATTTTGCCTCAGGTGCCTATGAAGAGTTTTCATAAGGAAACACGGACTTCTTAGGAGAGAACTACCAGAGATCCCACCTTGCCATGGACAACCCACACCTCCCTGAAGCACGGCACAGCTCCTCTGAGGCTCCTGGTCCAGACTGGACTTCCCAAGAGTTTTCTACATGGTGGCATATGAAAGATGATTAGTTATATTCCAATGCACGTGGAAAGCAGCGTGTGTTTGGACAACAAGCCCAGAGCAGCTTTACATCTCGGGGTCGCTGTATCCTGATTTCCTTGGAATAAAATCTCCCAAAGTGAGGTGGACTTCACTGGCTTTACACCCAAAGGTGAGAACCACGTTGTCGGATTGCTCCTTCAGGTTCCTTTTTGTCACTTGAGGCAGAGATCGCACCTTTGCAGTATCTTCATTCCTACCCAATTTAATGCTACACATGATAAAGACAAAGCTATTTCAAGACAGTAAAATGGACCCTTGCTGCAGCTGCACAATGCCAGAATATTAGCTACATGTCCTGTAGTCCACAAGCAACCAAATTTCATGTACTTTTTCAAGGTTATAGTGTTCTTACTGAGTATTTAGAGTTTGACTTGCTTAGACCTCTGAATAAAATGCAACATCTTGTGTGTTATAAGCACTTGATTCAACACAAGACTCATCATAACTGCCAGTTAACTATAGCCGCATTACAAACCCAATCTGGAACAGTTCTGCCTTGTGTAGCCTTGTAAAACTGTACAGTAAAGTTGCAGCCAATTTACTATGAACAACGTTGAACTCTCCATCAGAAAGGAAAAAATTCCAAACAATATTTCCATGGTAATGTCGTCCATAGCATTTTATAGCAGAGGAAAAATTAATATCTACATCATATGTTAACTTTAAAAAATTCTATAAAACACTAAATATATAATAAAAAATATGCATATAAGGACATATGTAAACTGCTTTGGTAACATCATATTACAGATGTTTTCAGTGCATTGCAGAGTTTCCAAGGAAACTTCAGACAAAGCTATATTTGCTTTGAGGAAGTACTGTATAATGCCATTCCTAAAGAAGCATAAACATTTTTCCAGTAGTAAGATGTACTCAAACCACAATATTACTTAGTACTGGGTGTCTTCAAAACAACTAGCTAAATGTTGCTTATATTATAAACGAGAAGTCCTTTATGTGATTTTTGTCATAAACTGGAGCGAGCTGTGAGCGATATCATTATCGTGCTGATGGCTGACAGTGTACAGGCATTGGAGGTGGATGAGCCGGATCCTCTTGCATATGCATCTGAGCAAAGGAAAGAGGGGCAGAAAATGAGCCAGTGGTGACAAGAGCAGCCCTCATTAACCCCAAACCCAAGAGATTAATTCTGGCTCCTCCAAGGAAGTGTGGTGGTGGCCGGGAGGTCAGACCCCACATAACCTCCTTTTCACTGCACTTCACCTCTCTAACTGAGTTTTCCATTGAACTCAAATTCCTGCTGCTGTTGTGTTGAGGCTACTTACAATTGTATTACTTCAGGGCCTGTTTACTTATTATTTTATTTTTCTTACAATTGTACTACATTCAAGCTGTTCCTTATGGCACCAGCCTGGAGCAATCCGCATCCCGGAGGAGCTGTGTACCTGTGCCCACTGTGCTGAGCCAAATAAGAACTGGCATGTGTTCCTCCTCTCCTACCTCTCCTGTGTCTGCTGATTAAATTCCTCTGTATGGTTTATATAGCCACAGTGTACAACCATGGTGAAGAGAATTCTGATCTCACTCAGGGTTTTTTATATTGCTGTAATTTTAATGCCATATTCCTGCATTGCAGAGGCTCCTGATTTAATGCAGCTTATAAACTGTGGCATTATTAATGGAAGATGGGACATGGAGATTTTGCAAAAGCAATGTTGTGTAATAAAATACTCTCTTGCCTGTTTGTTCTTCTACACAACCTCATTTCCCTAAATACATATTTATGTATCCAACACACAATGGAATATGGCTATACAGTAGCCTTATAAATTTAAAACCTCTATACACTGCATTTGATATTTTGTTACAGTGAATTGCAGTGAAACAATATATTGTACATATATACGAGTAGGGAAGTAAGAGAGTGAAAAGTGTCTAGAAAAATACAAATATAACTACTTATGATGGCATTTCTTATGGTTTAATCTTGATTCAGTATGAAATCAGAAATGTGGGCCAGAGTGACTACTGGTCCCAGGTAAGTCTGGGTTTCAGCTCCCTGCCTGAGAAATGGCCAGACTTACAGCCCGGCCCTGCTCTGCTTCATCCTGCTTCTAGGTGAAAACAGTGACGGGGTGAAGCAGGTCTGCCCCAACAGCAGGGATAGAGGGACTGGGGATCCCAGAGCGCCCATGCGGGACCCTGGTTCCTCCCATCCTTACTTGATATCTTTGGAATTCGGATTTGTTCACTGCTGCTGCCGTCACCCCCATCGCTGATCGGCTTTATCTCGATGATGTAGTCCTCATCGAATGGCAGCGAGAGCTCCACGGAGGTTTTATTCGTTTCTATTACAGATGTGCTGCTCTGCCTGTTCCACCTGTACAAAACCTGCAGCAAAGGGGAGAGAGAAAAGGAGGCAGAAATGGCAGATGGCCATTGCCCCAAGGTCGTCCAGATCTGCTGCTGCTCTTTCCCTGCCTCTGATGGTCAGACGCATGGCCTGGTCTCAGAGGGGCTGCTGGGGTTTTGCTGGGGACCCAGCACAGCAGTGACAGTGCTTGGGGTGGGGAGGTGACACCGGGAGGAGGGTGATGCCCATGTGCAGTACCAAACAGCACGGGTAGCTTGGGGAGCACCTTCATGAAATCTTTAACTTTATGAAGC